AACCAAAGCAGAATAGAGGGGTAGCACTCCACTCCACTCCATTCCAGGTGTGGTCTAACCAAAGCAGAATAGAGGGGTACTTCCTCGTGTTGTGGTGACCTCCACCCAAAAAATTATTTATATTATTTTTTCCCATAATATCACAAAGTTGATTTATTGTCAAGACTAAAGAACAAAAAGAACAACTGCATCAACTAAAGCAGTGGTCCTCAACCTTCCTAATGCCACAACCCCTTCACAGTTCCTCATGTTGTGGTGACCCCCAACCATAACATTATTTTTGTTGCTACTTCACAACTGCAATTTTGCTATTGTTATGAATCCTAATGTAAATATCTGATGTGAAGGATGTATTTTCATTCACTGGACCAAATTTGGCATGAATACCTGATACGCCCAAATCTGAACACTGGTGGGTTGGGGGGGGGGATTGATTTTGTCATTTGGGAGTTGTAGTTGCTGGGATTCATAATTAACCTACATTCAAAGAGCATTCTGAACTCCACCAGCGATGGAATTGAACCACACTTGGCACACAGAACTCCCATGACCAGCAGAAAATAGATCTGGACCAAACTTGGCACGAATACTCAATATGTCCAAAAGTAAACACTGGTGGTAATTGGGGAAAATAGATGGAATTTTATAGTTGTAATTGCTGGGATTTATAGTTCGCCTACAATCAAAGAGCATTCTGAACTTCACCAGCAATGGAATTGAACCAAACTTGGCACACAGAACTTCCATGACCAACAGAAAATAGATCTGGACCAAACTTGGCACGAATACTCAATATGCCCAAAAGTGAACACTGGTGGAGTTTGGGGAAAATAGACCTTGACATTTGGGAGTTGCAATTGCTGGGATTTATAGTTCACCTACAATCAAAGAGCATTTTGAACTCCACCAGTGATGGAATTGAACCAAACTTGGCACACAGAGCTCCCATGACCAACAGAAAATACTGGGCTTGGTGAGTGTTGGCCTTGAGTTTTGGAGTTGTAGTCCACCTACATCCAGAGAGCACGGTGGACTCAAACAATGATTAATCTGGACCAAACTTGGCACAAATACTCAATATGCCCAAATGTGAACACTGATGGAGCTTGGGGAAAATTGACCTTGACATTTGGGAGTTGTAGTTGCTGGGATTTATAGTTCACATACAATCAAAATGCCTCCTGAACCCCACCAACGATAGAACTGGGCCAAACTTCCCATGCAGAACCCCCATAGCTTGAAGAGACTTGCTGGCACGTGCTGAGCACACCTACTCTCCCCTCCCTGCTTGGCGTCTCAAAAACAACCTTCTCCTTGGCTGAGAGGTCGGCCAATCACAGCAGAGGAGGGCGGATTCGACCTCTGTTTCCAAAAAGGAAGATGACAGGTGGAGAGATCTTCAGACTATCAATATGTTTTCTGTTGGTCTTTGGCGACATCCCCCCCCCCCCCCCCCCCCCCCCCCCCCCCCCCCCCCCCCCCCCCCCCCCCCCCCCCGAAACCCTCTCGCAACCCCACGGGTCCCGACCACCAGATTGAGAAACACTGCCATAGAGTGTCAAAACAGTCCAGTAGAAGAAGGTGACAGCAACCTCATACTGAACCAATCTTGCCAAGAAAACCCAATGATATGTTGGTTTTAAGGTCATCATCAACTGGAAATTATTTAGAGACACATAACAATAACAATGGTAGCGAACTAAGCTATTCCTCTTCTTTGGGCAAGGCTGGGGATAGAACAGATTGAACGAAGGGAATCTACCTCAATGAGATCACAAAAACCGACCATTTCCAAACCATCAATTAATTTGTAAAAAGGATTTCATCCACGATTTTCATGATCTCAGAAGAAGAAAAACACGACAGAGACCACAAGATGGTGCTATGTGATAATTGTTTAGCTGAGTCTATTTCTAGAGACTTAAGGAGCTGACTTTTACAAACTTGGCGGACCTTACATGGCTGTCTGGAATAAGAGAGTTTTGCAGGCCGCCCTATTCACAGACATGCAAGGCGTATTTCTCCTCCTTCACGCACAACAATCTTCCACTAGGGCTGATGTGCCTGGCCACAGACACCTGTAGGTCTGGTAATGCGTGTATCACCACCTGTCAATAATCTGTTTATGGAATTGCAACATTCTTGTCTCTTATTATACCTTCTCAATACATTGCAAGGTGTGTTTTTGTAGTGATGTGTGCATGTTACCGTATACACCTGGCATTACTAAGGTATTGTTACACTACTGTCATGCCTTCTTTCTCACCCCTTTCCCCCCCTTTTTATTTCCTTCTCCTTCTCTTTCTCCCTTCTCCAGCTCTTGAGAGGGCCTACCTCACAAGATCTCCATGGCAATGTGTCCCTCTTTATGGCTCTTTCCCCCATTCACTTTGTATGCCTCACAATTCTTTCCAAGTGACATTGCCGAGGGCCACTTCACCTAGTGATAGCAAGGTCAGTGACATCGCAGAAGGCCAATTCACCTAGTAATAGCCAGGCCAGTGACACTGCAGAGGGACACTTCACCTAGCAACAGCAAGGCCAGTGGTACCCCAGAGGGCCACTTCACCTAGCAACAGCCCGATCAATGACACTGCAGAGAGCCATTTCACCTAGCGACAGCCAGGCCACTTCACCTAGCAACAGCCAGACCAGTGACCTCGCAGAGGGCCACCTATCAACAGCCAGATCAATGACACTGCAGAGGGCCACTTCACCTTGTGACACCAGGCCAGTGATAATGCAGAGGGCCATTTCACCTAGCAACAGCAAGGCTAGTGGTACCCCAGAGGGCCACTTCACCGAGCAACAGCCAGATCAATGGCACTGCAGAGGGCCACTTCACCTAGCRACAGACAGGCCAGTGACACCAGAGGACCACTTCATCTAGCAACAGCAAGGCCAGCACACCACCACAGAGGGCCACTTCACCTAGCAATAGCCAGGCCAGTGACACCACAGAGGGCCGCCTAGTAACAGCCAGATAAATGACACTGCAGAGGGCCACTTCACCTAGCAACAGCCAGATCAATGACACTGCAGAGAGCCATTTCACCTAGCGACAGCCAGGCCACTTCACCTAGCAGCAGCAAGGCCAGCAGCACCACAAAGGGCCACTTCACCTATCAACAGCCAGACCAGTGACCTCGCAGWRGGCCACCTATCAACAGCCARATMAATGRCRCTGCAGAGGGCCACTTCACCTAGTGACACCAGGCCAGTGACAATGCAGAGGGCCACTTCACCTAGCAACAGCAAGGCTAGTGGTACCCCAGAGGGCCACTTCACCGAGAAACAGCCAGATCAATGGCACTGCAGAGGGCCACTTCACCTAGCAACAGACAGGCCAGTGACATAAGAGGGCCACTTCATCTAGCAACAGCAAGGCCAGCACACCACCACAGAGGGCCACTTCACGTAGCAACAGTCAGACCAGTGACACCACAGAGGGCCTCCTAGTAACAGCCAGATAAATGACAATGCAGAGGGCCACTTCACCTAGCAACAGCCAGACCAGTGACATCGCAGAAGGCCACTTCACCTAGCAACAGTTAGACCAGTGACACTGCAGAGGGCCACTTCACCTAGCAATGGGTTTTCAACTCTAATATATTACTTCAAGTGGAGTATCCTAGACCAGCAGTTCTCAACCTGGGGGTCGCGACCCCTAGGGGGGTCGTTTGACCATTTTCTGGGGGTCGCGAAGCTGCATTGACTGGCCACGCCCCCTCCAAAATGGCGGCCGACCCCCTTCGCCACTGGCATTCCTGCGCGTGAAGCCATCCACCTGTCCCTCATCTCCTTCTGATGGCAGAAGGAGGCGAGGGACGGGCAAGCGGCTCCACAGGTGGCTAGGCCACGCGCGAAGCCATCCACCCCTCCCTCGCTTCCTTCTGATGGCAGAAGGAGGTGAGGGATGGGCAAGTGGCTCCTTGGGCGCCCCTCGCCTGCTCCACTCTCCCACCGGCTGGCGGGGGTGCGGAGGAAGTGAGGGCTCTTAGTTGCAGGTGAACTATAAATCCCAGCAACTGCATATCCCAAATGTCAAGGTCTATTTTCCCCAAACTCCACCAGTGTTCACATTGGGGCATATTGAGTATCTGTGCCAAGTGTGGTTTAGATCCATCATTGTGTGAGTCTGCAATGCTCTCTGGATGCAGGTGAACTACAACTCCCAAACTCAAGGTCAGTGCTCACCAAACCCTTCCAGTATTTTTCGTTGGTTGTGGGAGTTCTGTGTGCCAAGTTTGGTCCAATTCCATCATTGGTGGAGTTCAAAATGCTCTTTAATTGTAGGTGAACTATAAATCCCAGCAACTACAACTCCCAAATGACATAATCAATTTCCCTCCAACACCACCAGTATTCAAATTTGGGCATATTGGGTAACGTAAGGTAAAAGTTTTCCCCTGACATTAAGTCCAGTCGTGTCCAACTCTGGGAGTTGGTGCTCAATTTCTAGGCCAAAGAGCCGGTGTTGTCCATAGACACCTCCAAGGTCATGTGGCTGACATGACAGCATGGAGCGCTGTTGTTGGGTATTTGTGCCAAATTTGGTCCAGTGAATGAAAATACATCCTGCATTTCAGATATTTACATTATGATTCATAACAGTAGCAAAATTACAGTTATGAAGTAGCAATAATAATAATTTTATGGTTGGGGGTCACCACAACGTGAGGCACTGTATTAAGGGGTCGCAGAATTACGAAGGTTGAGAACCACTGTCCTAGACAGTTGTGAAGAAAATGTGCTGTTGTCCTTGTGGCTTTATAGAATTCAATATGAATGGCTACATGAAGGAACCTGATGGGATGCTCAAGTGGAGAATCAAAGCATCTCACAGCACTCTAGTTCATTCGTAGCTCTAGGGCGCCTCATCGACGAAGCCCCGCCCCCTCTTCCTCCTTCCCTTTCTGTGACAGGGCGCTTCCTATTCTCGCGAGAGCTGAGACCAAAGCTCGGGGAGTCTCCCTCAGCGGATGTGACGTGAGCGGACTTCCTTTTCCCGTCCGGAGGTGTTGCGGGAAGCGTAAAAGAGTCTCGGCGTGGCCGGCATGGCGAGCGCGCGGCGGTGCCTCCTTCTGCTCTTCCTCCTTTTCCAAATGGCCGCCTTGGGTGCCTCGGCGCCGCTGGAGCCCGGCGGAGGAGCAGCAGCAGCAGCAGGAGGAGGAACAGGCGGCGGCGCGGAGGAAGCAGAGGCGGAGGAGGCCGCAAAGGAGGGCCCAGGTCAGAGCGCGAGGAGACGGATCTCGGGCCTTTCCCCCATGTTCCCCTGCCCTTCCCCTTTCGCTTCTCATCTCATCTTGAATTACTTATTAACCGCCCTCCATCCGAGATGCTCCAGGCGATTTACATAGCAGAAATTACACAGGATAAAACACACACATACAAATATTAAAATTAACATGAGTCTAGTAAAAAGCCAGGTCTTAAGTGCTAGGATAAAATGCCCTAAGTCACGCATGGCTCTCAAATAGGGGGGCAAGGAATTCCACAAGGCAGGGGCAGAAATAGAGAAGGCCCTGTGTCTGGTGCTTTCCAAGTGCACTTCCCTAGGACCCGGCATATAGAGCAAATCGCGTTGGGATGGTCGTGGCGACCTCCGATGATGGTAGAAGGAGAGACGGTCTCTAAGATACAATGGACCCTGGCCATATAAAGTTTTAAAGGTCAGGACCAGCATCTTATACAAACCACGATACTCAATTGGGAGCCAGTGTAGATGCTGCAGCACTGGTGTTATATGGCATTTCATGGGCGTTTTTGTGAGTAACCTGGCTGCAGCATTCTGGACAATACAGAGCTTTCGGGTCGTAGACATTGGAAGGCCAACATACAGGGCGTTGCAATAGTCCAGCCTTGATGTGACCGTAGCATGGATGACTGTTACCAGAGCCTCGTCAGATAGGTAGGGTGCCAGTTGCCTCGCTTGTCGTAGATGGAAAAAGGCCTGTTTGCTGGCAGCAGCAACTTGAGCCTCCATCGTCAGCTGCGAATTCAAAATGACACCTAGGCTCTTAACAGTAGGCGATGGAGATAGAGCAGCATCATCAAAGGCTTCTGTTCGTTTCTGTGGCTGATGAGTCCGCCATGAAAGTTCATCTCATATTTATTAATATACTACGGCAGTGTGTGTGTGTGTGTTATTTATATATATAAATAAAAATGTTATGTTCGTTTGTGGGATTAACATAACTCAAGAGCCACTGGGGGAATTGACACGAAATTTGGACACAATACATTAACAGTCCAACGAGTGTCCATCATCCCTAAAACACACACACAGACACACAAACCCAGCGGAACAGACTTAAAAATCCAAAAAATACACCATATATAACATATACAAATACACTCAAATACATATACACATGCATACACTCATACACATGTATGTGTGTGTGTGTGTATATATATATATATACACACACACACATATATACATATACACATGCACATATATATACACATATACACATGCACACATACAGGCATATACATATCGTCATCATCATTTAATAACTTATTAATCGCCCTCCATCCGAGAATGCTCTAGATGATTTACAGCTAAATCATAAAAGATAAAATACATACATACAAAAATTAAGATAAACACATAAACACACAAATATTCATATAGACAAGAACACACATATACACAATATGCATGTACACATATAAACAAACAAATACACAAATATATGCACACACACACATATATGTGTGTGTGTGCATATATTTGTGTATTTGTTTATATGCACACACAAATATACACACAAATATTCATATAGACAAGAACACATACACATGCACACACAAATATACATACATACACACATATACACATGCACATACATACACACATATATACACACAAATATTCATATGAGGCAAGAACACACATACACAATATGCATGTACACATATAAACAAACAAATACACAAATATATGCACATACACATATGCACATGCATACACATATACATAAACACACAAATATTCATATAGACAAGAACACACATATACACAATATGCATGTAAACATATAAACAAATACACAAATATATGCACACACACATATATATATATACACATGCACACACAAATATATGCACGCACATATGCTTATACACACAAATATTCATATAAGACAAGAACACATATATACACAATATGCATGTACACATATAAGCAAACAAATACACAAATATATGCACACACACATATATACACAAACATCTATACACCCACATACACATATATATATGGAAACACACATATAAACACAAATAGATACGACATACAAAACACATATACAAAGACTGGGCCACAGCAACACATGGCAGGGGACAGCTAGTATATAATACTAGGAGACGGCTAGTATATAAAAATGTAATGTTCGTTTGTGGGATTAACATAACTCAAAAACCACTGGACGAATTGCCACCAAATTTGGACACAGTACGCCTATCAGGCCAATGAGTGACCATCACTCAAAAACATTGATTTTGTCATTTGGGAGTTGTAGTTGCTGGGATTTATTTATTATTTATTTACTTTCTTTATATACCGCTTTTCTCAGCCCTCAGGCAACTCAAAGCAGTGAACAACATCGATACAAAATATCACGAGACAAGTTTAGGGCAATTAAAAACAATTGTAACATAAATCATTAAACATCAGTATAACAATCATTAGCGCCTCAACAGTAAAATCAGAGTCCAGTCTCATCATCCATTATTCCGTATTCCTATGTTCAACTTATATCCCCATACCAAAAAAGGGAAATGTGAAAGACTGCTCCAACTTCCGTACAGTGGCCCTTATTTCTCATGCCAGGAAGGTAAGGCTCAAGATCCTGCAAGGAAGACTCCAGCAAGACATGGAACGAGAGTGGCCAGATTTCAAGCTGGGTTCAGAAAAGGCAGAGGAACGAGAGACCACATTGCCAATATCCGGATGCTGGATAATGGAGAAAGGCAGGGAGTTTCAGAAAAACATCTACTTCTGCTTCATTGACTATTCTAAAGCCTTTGACTGTGTGGATCATAATAAATTGTGGCAAGTTCTTAGTGGGATGGGCATCCCAAATCACCTTGTCTCTCTCCTGAGGAATCTGTATAAGGACCAAGTAGCAACAGTCAGAACTGACCATGGAACAACAGACTGGTTCAAGATTGGGAAAGGCGTACGGCAGGGTTGTATACTCTCACCCAACCTATTCAACTTGTATGCAGAACACATCATGCGATGTGCGGGCTTGATGAATGCAAAGCTGGGGTGAAAATTGCTGGAAGAAACATTAACAACCTCAGATATGCAGATGACACCACTCTGATGGCCGAAAGCGAGGAGGAGCTGAGGAGCCTTCAAATCAAGGTGAAAGAAGAAAGCGCAAAAGCCGGGTTGCAGCTAAACGTCAAAAAAACCAAGATTATGGCAACAAGAATGATTGACAACTGGAAAATAGAGGGAGAAAATGTGGAGGCCGTGACAGACTTTGTATTTCTAGGTGCAAAGATTACTGCAGATGCAGACTGTAGCCAGGAAATCAGAAGACGCTTACTTCCTGGGAGGAGAGCAATGTCCAGTCTCGATAAAATAGTGAAGAGTAGAGACATCAGACTGGCAACAAAGATCCGCCTAGTCAAAGCCATGGTATTCCCTGTAGTAACCTACGGATGTGAGAGCTGGACCTTAGGGAAGGCTGAGCGAAGGAAGATCGATGCTTTTGAGCTGTGGTGTTGGAGGAAAGTGTTGAGAGTGCCTTGGACTGCGAGAAGATCCAACCAGTCCATCCTCCAGGAAATAAAGCCGACTGCTCATTGGAGGGAAAGATACTAGAGACAAAGTTGAAGTACTTTGGCCACATCATGAGGAGACAGGAAAGCCTAGAGAAGACAATTATGCTGGGGAAAGTGGAAGGCAAAAGGAAGAGGGGCCGACCAAGGGCAAGATGGATGGATGGCATCCTTGAAGTGACTGGACTGACCTTGAGGGAGCTGGGGGTGGTAACAGCCGACAGGGAGCTCTGGCGTGGGCTGGTCCATGAGGTCACGAAGAGTCGGAGACGACTGAACGAATGAACAACTATGTTCAATTACACTGTTTAATCAAATGCTTGTTCGAACAGCCAGGTCTTCACTTTCCTCCAAACGCCAGCAGGGAGGGGGCCGATCTGATATCTGCAGGCAGGGCATTCCACAGCCGAGGGGCCACCACTGAGAAGGCCCTGTCTCTCGTCCCCGCCAAGCGCGCCTGTGATGCAGGCGGGACACAGAGCAGGGCCTCCCCTGATGATCTTAGTGTCCTAGTTTATAGTTCACCTACAATCAAAGAGCATTCTGAACTCCACCAATGATGGAATTGAACCAAATGTGGCACACAGGACTCCCAAGCCCAACAGAAAACAGTAGAAGGGTTTGGTGGGCATTGACCTTGAGTTTGGGAGTTGTACTTTACCTACTACCATAGAGCACTGTGGACTCAAACAATGATGAATCTGGGCCAAACTTATCACAAATATTCCAAATGCCCAATATGAACACAGATGGAGTTTGGGGGAAATTGACCTTTCCATTTGGGAGTTGTAGTTACTGGGATTTATAGTTCACCTACGATCAAAGAGCATTCTGAACTCCACAAATGATAGAATTGGGCAAACTTCCCACGCAGAACCCCCATGACCAACAGAAAATACTTAAGGCCATTGAGTCCAAGTTCCTTCACTAGGGCAAGAAAACATAAAGCCCTCCTGACAAAGAGCCGTCCAGCCATAGAGATAGATAGATAGGGAAATATATACTTAAGAGCAAGAAAACATAATCAAGGCCCTCCTGACAAGAGCCATCCAGCCATAGATATAGATAGATATGATTCACACACACACATATATACATATATGACAGATATTAGTATCATAGATTTGAAAGAGACCCCTGAAGAAGGACAGTTATATGTTGTATATTCCCGAGTAGGCAAACCAGACAATCTCTACATCAACACTGACAAAGAAACAACAAGAAATACTGTTTACTCACAAGTATCAAGACATTACATATATTAGAAACCAACACTTTCTCATTACTTTATTTTCCAGATCAACAAACTAGACCACAGCAACGCATGTCAGGGAATGGCTTGTCTATATAAATAAAAATGTAATGTTCGTTTGTGGAATTAACATAACACAAGAACCACTGGACGAATCGTCACCAAAATAAAAAAGCATTCTGAACCCCACGAATGATAGAATTGGTGCAAACTTCTCACACAGAACCCCTATGACCAATTAAGGCCATCCAGTCCAACTCCCTTCACCAGGGCACGAAAATGTAATCAAATACTGTTTACCCACAAGCATAAAGAAATTACATATATTCGAAACCAACACTTTCTCATTACGGTACTTTATTTTCCAGATCACCAGACTGGGCCACAGCAGTGCATGGCAGGGGATGGCTATATACATATATATACACACACATATACCTGGCACTGCCCGGGTGACATTGAGGCCGCTGTTCTCCTACTTTCTCCCTTCTCCAGCTCTGAGAGGGCCAAGGTTGTCTCCATAGCAACAAGACTCTCTCAGTGGCTCTATTCTTCTTTCCTCCCTCATAAACGCGAAGGGCCACTTCACCTAGCAACAGGCAATGTGGTATAAACAGACAGGGAACTACACATACGTTACAACAACCCATACATACGTTGCCTTTTATATAGAGAGAGAGATTAATAATCATATATAAGCCATTCAAGTGTCTTTTAATAGTAAAATGATTGTAAATAAATATCAGATATTCAGAAGCTTTATTCATGGAAGCTTTATCCTTTGGTATAAATAAATAGAATATTTTCCACATATTTATTATTTATTTATTTCATACACTTTTACCCTGCCCTTCTCCCCCAAGGGGGGGACTCAGGGTGGCCTCACATAAGCACCGTACAATGCTGTCATCATACAAATAGTCAACAAATACATTAAAACAATTCATGAAAACAATAGATTAGTCACGCCAGTTAAAACCAAGTCTGGGGATTATTTATTTATTTATTTATTTATAATTCAATGTCACAGTATCCCAGTCTTCTTTCCAATGGCCACTGTCCACTAATCGAACAGCTGGTCCCAAAGCCAAGTCTTCAATTTTCTTCTGAAAGAACAGGAGGGAGGTGGCCACTCCCGAGAAGGCCCTGCCTCTCATCCCCACCAACCGCGTTTGCGATGGTGGTGGGATCCAGTGCAGGGCCTCTCCTGAAGATCTTAAACTCAGGGCGGACTCCAACATACAATGGCAAACATTCAATATATCCATAAAGCAAACAAGTACCAACATTATAACTCCAGAAAAATTCTACATATTAAAACAATATTAGAACCTAACACAAGCTAATTTAATATTTAACGTGACACAGGATTCCTTATTGTTTTGTGTGTATAAGAATGGGGTCTTTTGGATGTGGAAATGGATTAATATAGGAATTTTCACCCTTCTTGTATTTTCTTTTTGGAGAACTGGTAAATACTGAGAATGTATTTCCATTGTTTTAGGGACCCTGTCTGGCAGAAGCACATTATCAATACCTCAAATGAACAGACATACTGAACAACTGGACAGGACTAGGTCATAGTCATTGTCATGGTGGGGAAAATTTTAAAGCTGAAACAAGAATGCAACATTGAAAAACAGGGAAGATGAGCGCACATATTTTTTCCCAAGATAGAAGAATAGATTTAAACATGTTTTACGTGTATTACAAGTTTGCTTTATATCCAAGATGACATCTTTAAGGTGCCACAAGATATTTCTTCACCCCCTATTATTATACTAAAATAAAGAAATCCAGGCACCCCTTAAAATACAGTATTCAGTTCCTGCCTGTGCCTTAATGGCATTTCAATAAAACGTAGTTAATAAATGTTGCATATGTTCCTAGAGTTATGAAGATGAGGTGTCAAATGGGTTGGCATGAAGTTTAAATGGCGCACTGTTCAGCATACAATGTGAAAATGGCTGCCTGTACTTTTGTGGGTATCTTTAATTTAATTTTTTTGCGTTGCAGTACTCACATCACATGATGAATCCAGAACGTCCCCATCTGGAGAAACCTCAAAGACCGATCAAACTGACACGAAGGAAAGTCAGAAATCAATTAAACCCAAAAATGGAGAACAGATTGTTCCAAGTTCTCATGTACAGAATCCAGAGCTTAGTAGACATCAGGAAAGTGGGATTTCGCAAAATAATGCCAAACCTCCCCAGGCTGATTCACATGTTACACCTGCTGCTGATAGCAACCAAAGTCATACATCTGAATTAGAGTCTGTCGCCCAAAAGCAAGGTCATAGTAAAGCGGAAGAAGGAGACGACTTGCCAAACAAAGGCCCGCCTGATGTTCCAGATTCCAAAAAAACAGATTCCAAAGATGTAAAGGAAATTCCCAAAGGCCTTCAGCCTGATGTACCTGTTCCGGATCCTCTTTCCAAAAAATCAGATTCTAAAGATGGCAAGAAAACTCCCAAAAACCTTCCACCTGATGCATCTGTTCCAGATTCTAGTTCCAAAAAATCAGATCCTAAAGAAGACCAGGAAACTCCCCAAAACCTTCCACCTGATGCATATGTTCCAGATTCTAGTTCCAAAAAATCAGATCCTAAAGATGACAAGGAGACTCTTGAAAATGTTCAGCCTGATGTTCCAGATTCTCTTTCTAAAAAAACAGATTCTAGTGAAGTCAAGGACACTCAGAACTTACCACTTTCAGTTGAAGATAATAAATCTACTGCAGCTGAACCAGAAGCTCCTCCCCTAAAAGAAGATCAGAATGGAGACAACCAAAATGGGATCTTGACAAAGCTTAAGCCCCCTCAACCTGGTGAAACTGAACCAGAATTTACTCCTGAAAAGTCAGTACAAGATGGGAAATTGCCAACTGCTGTTGAAAACAACCTACCTGATACTTCTGTCTCTAAAGATGAGGATGATGAAGAGGATGGTTTGGAGGAGGATGACATGGCTGGTGAAGATAAGGTGGGAGAGGAGATTGCAGGAGCTTCTCAACCTGAGAAGGAGGAAGCAAAGACTTCACCCGCTGGTCCAGCCCCTAAAAATGGATCTGAAAATAGCCATTTCTTTGCCTACTTGGTGACCACAGCTATTGTTGTTGCTGCACTATACATTGCTTATCACAATAAGAGGAAGGTAGGTGTTTTGAATTCACTTGGTGTGTTAATTTTTGCTGTGATGACAGAAGTGAGGTTTTTTTTCCCCTTTGCATATGTTTGAGAAGAGAAAAGGTGTTTTTTATTTGTTTGGGGTTTTTTTTTGGCATTTCAGAATTTCATCTATATAAATAAAATGTAATGTTCGTTTGTGGGATTAACATAACCCAAAAACCACTGGATGAATTGCCGCCAAATTTGGCCACAGGACACCTACTAACCCAAGGAGTGACCATCACTAAAAAAAAAATGATTTTATCATTTGGGAGTTGTAGTTGCTGGGGTTTATAGTTCACCTACAATCAAAGAGCATTCTGAACTCCACCAATGATGGAATTGAACCAAATGTGGCACATAGGACTCCCATGACCAATACAAAATACTAGAAAGGTTTGGTGGGCATTGACCTTGAGTTTGGGAGTTGTAGTTCACCTACATCCAGAGAACACTGTGGACTCAAACAATGACGGATCTGGACCAAACTTGGCACAAATATTCCATATGCCCAAATATGAACACAGATGGAGTTTGGGGGAAATAGACCTTGACATTTGGGAGTTGTAGTCACTGGGATTTATAGTTCACCTACAATCAAAGAGCATTCTGAACCCCATGAACGACAGAATTGGGGCAAACTTCCCACAACAGAACTCCCATGGCCAACAGAAAATACTTAAGGCCATCCAACCCAACTCCCTTCATCCGGGCAAGAAAACGTAATCAAAGTCCTCCTGACAAAGAGTCATCCAGCCATAGATAGATAGATAGATAGATAGATAGATAGATAGATAGATAGATAGATAGATATGATTCACACACACAGATATAGTATCATAGATTTAAAAGGGACCCTTAAAGAAGGACAATGATATCTTGCATGTTCCAGGGTGGACAAACCAGACACTCTCCACATCAACACTGACAAAGAAACAGCAAGAAATACTGTTTAACCACAAGCAAAAAGAAATTACATATATTCTCATTACTTTATTTTCCAGATCAACAGACTGGGCCACAGCAATGCGTGGCAGGGGACAGCTAGTATTAGATAAAGCCGCTCTGAGTCATCCCCCCCCCCCGGGGGGGGTTAGAAGGGCAGAGTAAAAATGCTGTAAATAAATAAAAATAAATATAAAAATAAATAAAATATGAGATAAAGAAATGTACCAGACAGACTTGCATATTTTAATATAAAAGGCTAGTATGCATAATTTAAACTCTGTTTATCTGCCTATTTTTCTCCCTTCAAAGATCATTGCCTTTGCACTAGAAGGGAAAAAGTCCAAGGTAATCCGAAGACCAAAATCCAGTGACTATCAGCGACTAGATCAAAAGGTAAGATCCTGCATTGTAAGTTCTAAGCAGCTCTTCTGAAGACAAATGCAAGTTCCATATTGGTTTTAGTTTTACCCCATTTTATCCCAGTTGAAATGGCTTCTTACAGAAGCTTGTAATTTGAAATGTATATGTATGTAGAATATAATGCTATATATCGCTATATATTGGTTTGTGGGGCAGTCCTTCATGGCTTATAGCAATTGCTGTCTTGTTCCTGGTTTACATTACTGTATTGTATTTTTAAATAAGCACATCTAGAATAAATTTGGTTCTCTTAAACCTCCATCTTATTTTACCAGATTCCTTATTTGAGAGGCACTGCCTATTTTTAAGTTTTTTGGTCAGTAGAAGTAGATTTAGTCCAAATCAGATGCTTCTTGGCTTCGATTTATTTTTGCCCAACATTCAGTTTAAAAGCTTGAGGACCTCAAGACTTTGCAAATTATATTAAAATGTATTGTCGAAGGCTTTCATGGCCGGAATCACTGGGTTGTTGTACGTATTTTTCGGGCGATATGGCCACGTTCTAGAGGTATTTTCTCCTGACGTTTTGCCTGCATCTATGGCACGCATCCTCAGAGGTAGTCAGGTCACTAAAATACCTACAACAACCTGGTATTAATATGCATCACAACCACTGACTGCCCCAGTATAGTTTTCTAGGCTATCTGGATGATATATGGTATATTCAACTTTAGTAATAATTGGGCAGGTCATGGTGTTTGTATGGCCATTGCGAATCCAGTTGCCTCTGTTTCTAAAGACTGAATCACATAGGATTCATCTACACTACAGAATTAATGCACTTTAACTGCCCTGGTTCAATGATATCCTAGGAGATACCAGTAGTCTTTGGCAGAGAAGGTTTTACATTTATTTATTTGTTTGTTTGTTTGTTTGTTTGTTTGCAGTATTTATGTTCCACCCTTCTCACCCCGCAGGGGACTCAAGGTGGATTACAATGTACATATACATGGCAAACATTCAATGCCATAGACACACAACATATATAGACAGACACACAGAGGCTATTTAATATTCCAGCTTTTTTATGAGAGTATTCTGGCCACCAGGGGAGCTGTCGCTTCACCATCCATTTGTGACACTGATGAAGTACTTCCTCATTCTTTGCATGCTTGCTGAAGATTTTTATGGCATCATAAATTAGCCTCCCTGACTAAGCGGTACCTAAATTTCCTACTTGACAGATGCAACTGTTTTTCAGGCTGCAAAGGTTGACAGCAAGCTACACAAATTGGTCGGAAGCTCACTGTGACCCGGGCAGTCTTTGAACTCATGACTTTTTGGTCAGTAGTGATCTTAATGCAGCTGACACCTAGCCAGTTGCGCCACAGTCCCGCTTCTTACAGAACTATTAACTCTCATGATTCCATAGCAGTAAATCATGGCAGTTAAAAGTTGGACCTCTTGACCCAAAAACTTGCCCAAAATAGACCAAGAACAAACAGAACGGATTGGAGTAGCTTTATTAAATTTCTAAAAAAAGAACAATTACAAATTATTGTAAACGTAGGATAAAGAAATGTCTCGGTTAAGCTTATAGACACACACAAGGCGACACTTTTATTAGGAATTTGTGGGAAAAGAGTTAATTAACAATGGAAAATTAGTGTATGTATGTCTGTCAGATATTTTTCTTATCTTTTTTTCCCTTTCTTTCTCCTATTTTTTCCTAGTCTTTACACTTTTTCTTTATGATGTTCTCCCACTTTCGCTGTAATAAGGAAAATACCTTAGGAATGTATACGATATTTTAAATATTTGTATGTCCAATATTTCTTTGTTTTATGTTATTTACCAATAAAAATAATTAAAAACATGTTGTATCAAACTACATTAATTCTACAGTGTAGATGCACACTGTGCCTCTAACCTTTCCCAACATCAAGTATTTTTGGGTTGTTGTAGGTTTTCCTACTGACGTTTCGCATGCATCTATGGCAAGCATCCGCAGAGGTAGTGAGGTCTGTTTGAACTAGGTAAAAGGGGTTATATATCTGTGGAATGACCAGGGTGAGACAAAGGACTCCTGTCTGTTGGAGCCAGGTGTGAATGTTTCAACTGACCACCTTGATTAGCATTTGATTGCCTGGCAGTGCCTGGAGCAATCCTTTGTTGAGAGGTGATTAGATGTCCTTGTTTGTTTCCTCTCTGTTGTAGTGCTGTTGTAATTTTAGAGTTTTTTAATACTGGTAGCCAGATTTTGTTCATTTTCATTGTTTCCTCCCATCTGTTGAAATTGTCCACATGCTTGTGGATTTCAGTGGCTTCTCTGTGTAGTATGACATGGTGGTTGTTGGAGTGGTCCAGCATTCCAACAGGCAGGAGTCCTTTGTCCCACCCTGGTCATTCCACAGATATATAAACTCTTTCCTAGTTCCAACAGACCTCACTACCTCTGAGGATGCTTGCCATAGATGCAGGCGAAACGTCAGGAGAAAATGTCTTTAGAACATGGCCATATAGCCCGAAAAAACCTACAACAACCCAGTGATTTCGGCCATGAAAGCCTTCGACAATACATTCAAGTATTTTTGTCAGATTAAAGCTAATGTAAAGTGCTATCACTTCACTTATAATTCAGTCTTACTGAGTAATTTAAAATTCCTTCTTTTTTTTGTTTAGATCTAAGTCAAACCCAGAAGTTCCAGCCTAATGACTGGTTCAGTGTGGACTTGTCCTGAAAATGAGCCTAGAGAAACCTGAGCAGTGTTCTGCCTTTTGTAGTACAGCTTGACGCCTCTTGGCTGTGCTGAGCGGGAAGGAAGAACAGAAGTGCTCCTAATTGTGCACATGCACTTTGGTGAAATCCTCAGCTGTTTGTACCCCTTTCATGCTCTTGAGACCTGTATTGTTTTCTCCCCAATTATGACAGAAGAGACAACGAGGGATCTTACTGTATCTCTGTCCACCCATTCAAGTGATGTGAAACTTAATCGACTGTATTGACCTGAGAGTTGTACTTAGAGGGTGCCTTGTCTGTTGACCAAGCTTTAATTCTTAAGGTCCCTTGTACTGCTTTCGTAGCTGATGCAGCATGTATGAGTTGACATGAAGGAAGGCTGTGGAATGTGTATTGAAACAGCTCCTTTTTTTGATCCGTTGCACTAGTTGAAGGGTGGTTTTCTGGGCATACCTATTAGACGTCTGTCCGTGTGTAGGTGGCAATATTGAAAAATGATCTCAAGATACATCAGGACAGGCGTGGAGGAATAACCATACTCCGTGGTTTCCTTTTGTTCAGTTTCTGGCCCATTTCTGATATTTAGACCAAAGATAACATGATTGGAAGTCTACTGTTTGAAAGAATTTGGGAATATTTTGATCTGTTTTTCTCTGCCAGGCTTCTTTGGAAAGAATCTTAACAAATAAGGTCACTATCATGCAGTGTTTCTCAACCTTCCTAATGCCACGACCCTTTAATACAGTTCCTCCTGTTGTGGTGACCCCCAACCATAACATTATTTTCGTTGCTACTTCATAACTGTAATTTTGCTACTGTTATGAATCATTATGTAAATATCTGATATTCAGTATGCATTTTCATTCACTGGACCAAATTTGGCAGAAATACCCAATATGCCCAAATTTGAATACTGGTGGGATTGAAGGGGGTTGATTTTGTCATTTGGGAGTTGTAATAATAATAATAATAATAATAATAATAATAATATTTATTTATTTGACCAGTCATATGACCATTTCAAAATGGAACACGAGTAAAAAAACAAGGCAAAAAGGTGAGGACAGCAGCTGACCTTCTATTTATAGTCAGAATTTTATTTTCCTGGTTCTTCTTTCAGGAAATCTATTCTTTTCTTAATAGCTTTCAGAATAAAAAGGCTTACTCTGATTATGCTGGATCTTTCCTGACCTTGCAAGAGGGATGTCAGAATATCATTTCTGTTGGGGGACCTGCAGTTGGATAATATTGGATGTAAATATCTGTCTCACTGAACAGTTAATCAAAAAATGTTCAGTGTCTTCCACTGTTTGTTCTCCCCATACACAGAATCTCTCACTTCTTATTTGGGAGTTGTAGTTGTTGGGGTTTACAGTTCACCTCCAATCAGCAATCATTCTGAACTCCACAAACGATGGAATTGAACCAAACCTGGCACACAGAACTCCCATGACCAACAGAAAATACTGGAAGGGTTTGGTGGGCACTGACCTTTAGAGTTATAGTTCACCTACATTCAGAGAGCACTGTGGACTCAGTGATGGATGCAGACCAAATTTGGCACAAATATTCAATATGCCCAAATTTGAACGTGGGTGGAGGCTGGGGAAAATAGACCTTGACATTTGGGAGTTGTAGTTGCTGGGATTTATAGTTCACCTACTGTGTTTTCTGATAGTCTTTGGTGACCTCTCTGACATCCCCTTGCGACCCCTCCAGGGGTCCCGACCCCCAGACTGAGAAACACTGCAAATGCAATGCCCTGTTAAAGATGTTCCAAGAGTCTGGCAGTGGAACTGAGCCTTCCTCAACCACTCGACATAATATTAGGATGGAAATATATCCTCTCACATCTTTTTCAGAGGCTGAACTGTTTAAGAGCACTTATTTCTTTGTATTGTCAGCTCACAATTCTACCACTAAATAGACCTTTTGTCCTCAACCCAAGTATATGATTACAGCTTGTTCACTCCAGAATCCCGATATAGGATGTCTCTTTAAGTGTGAAGGGCACTTGAGTAGTATTTGGAAGCATTGTTCACAAATGCACTGTAGAAAATGACAGTTCTGGACTGTATGTGTTGGTGTGCATGTATATGTGTTGCATAGTAACAATTTAATCTTTGTCCGAAATCTGACCCAGGTACAAATATTCTTTAAGGGCCCCATAATTCCAGTGCAAAGCAGCCTGTTTGCTTGTTGATTTAAGTGTGTGGTAGGCCTGTTCAATGCATGGTTCTAAAGTGATTACAAAACTAAAGTTCTGGTGGTGAAAATTTCAGAACTCTAACAAAACTCTCAAAATTTCATTATAAATGACAGTTCCTAATTGGTTGTCATAAAAATCTCCAATAATGAAATAATAATTAAATTTTGAAAGAGTTCTGACATTTTCACCACCAGAACTTTAGTTTTGTATGTACTTTAGAACCAGGCCTAGTGTGTGTTGGTTTCTTGCACGCTGCAGCTTTTCTGTTAGCCTTACTTCTACTGGGATGAGAGAATAGGAAAATTGTGAATCAGGCACAATACTGATGTCTGGTTTGTGGCCTTTGATTTTTCTGTATGTGTTTCTAATCAGATTGTTAAATGAGAGACAAGACCTCTTTATTCTTGCCTTTACGAGTGAACCCCTTCCCTCGCTGTTGAGCTTTTCTGCTGTTTGTTTCAATGGTACCTACAAAAGCTAGGAATTACTTGTGACCTGGTCATAAGTGAAACAAAATGAGGCATCAGATGGGTCAGTTTTCAAATGTTTAAAAAATTAATAAAGCTTAATAGAAAGCTAGTATGTGTGGTGGATGAATGGGTGGGGTGGGTGAATTTGCTTCTTGCACTTGACTTAAAAACCTCTAAGTTGTTTCTTCTTTAATAAGTTACTTCTGGAATGCCTTCTATTTCTTTCTCATAAATTTTGTGTCATTTTGAGTTTGATTTCCAGGTTAATGTTTTAAATAGCGAAAAAATTGTTCAGTGCTCTGCATTGCATTTCTGTTTTGTTTTGTTTTTGGTTTTTTACCTCAAATTGCGATGAATTGTGTTCTGTTGCTGGATAGCTTTCTTGCCAAATGTGTCTTATTTACTGTTTAGGTCCGCTCCCTTCCCTGTTTTAATCCACGAGTGTGTGTTTCTGGTTCTGTCAGCTTTAAAAGAAAGAGACACTTTAAAAGTTTAGACTTGTTTTTAATCTTTGTATGCCTTTCCCCCTGTGAAGTGAATTTAAATAAATGAATATGCCACAATTGCTTTGGTTTCTGGAAATTCATTTTATCAATTTATCTATTTTTATTTATTAATCAATTTTATATACCGCCACTCCTCGAAGGCTCTGAGCGATTTACAATATACGTATGCGACACATTATATTTAAAATCAAAGAAAAAATTCAGTCAGCAAGATTCAAATGCCAGCCTAAATAAATAAGTTTTACAAGCTCTACGAAAAGATAGTAAGTCTTGGAGAGCTCATGTTTCCACTGGCAAGGCATTCCACAGGTAAGGAGTCACCACCGTGAATGCTCTACACCTAGTAGACATCAGGTGAAAGGTCCTAAAATTGGGAACTTCAAGGAGATTCTGATCGTCTGAACGGAGTGATCTCGGGGGTTGGTAGGGGGTGAGGCGGTCCCTCCGGTACTCCGGCCCCAGACCATATAAGGCCTTAAAGGTAAGAATCAGCACTTGCATAGAATCAAAGAGTTGGAAGAGACCTCATGGGCCATCCAGTCCAACCCCCTGCCAAGAAGCAGGAATATTGCATTCAAATCACCCCTGACAGATGGCCATCCAGCCTCTGTTTAAAAGCTTCCAAAGAAGGGGCCTCCACCACACTCCGGGGCAGAGAGTTCCACTGCTGAACGGCTCTCACAGTCAGGAAGTTCTTCCTCATGTTCAGATGGAATCTCCTCTTGTAGTTTGAAGCCATTGTTCCGTCCTAGTCTCCAAGGAAGCAGAAAACAAGCTTGCTCCCTCCTCCCTGTGGCTTCCTCTCACATATTTATACATGGCTATCATATCTCCTATCAGCCTTCTCTTCTTCAGGCTAAACATGCCCAGCTCCTTAAGCCGCTCCTCATAGGGCTTGTTCTCCAGACCCTTGATCATTTTAGTTGCCCTCCTCTGGACACATTCCAGCTTGTCAATATCTCTCTTGAATTGTGGTGCCCAGAATTGGACACAATATTCCAGGTGTGGTCTAACCAAAGCGAATAGAGGGGTAGCATTACTTCCCTAGATCTAGACACTATGCTCCTATTGATGCAGGCCAAAATCCCATTGGCTTTTTTGCCGCCACATCACATTGTTGGCTCATGTTTAACTTGTTGTCCACGAGGACTCCAAGATCTTTTCACACGTACTGCTCTCAAGCCAGGCATTGTCCCCCATTCTGTATCTTTGCATTTCGTTTTTCCTGCCAAAGTGGAGTATCTTGCATTTGTCACTGTTGAACTTCATTTTGTTAGTTTTTGCCCATCTCTCTAATCAGTCTTTGAAGGTAATCCGGGGCTCAATTGGCAACCAGTGCAGTTGCTGCAAGACTGTGATGTGGCACCTTGCTGGAGCCCCTGCAAGAAGCCAGGCAGCAGCATTTTGCACTAGTTTTAAGTTTCCGGATCACCGACAAAGGCAGGCCTATGTAGAGGGCGTTACAGTAGTCCAACTTTGAGATGACCGTAGCCTGGATCACCATGGCCAGGTCGTCCCTGGACAGATAGGGAGCCAGATGCCAACCTGACACAGATGGAAAAATGCGACTCTGCTCGCAGCGGAGGCCTGGGCCTCCATCGTCAGCAGAGGGCCTAAAAGGACTCTCAGACTCTTTACCAAAGATGACGGGCATAATGTCACATCCCGGGTAGGGAACCGGATCACTCCTCCGTCCGAGTGACCCATCCAAAGGATCTCCGTCTTCAATGTGATGGCCATGTATAAATATGAGGGGAAGTCATAGGGGGGAGGGAGCAAGCTTGTTTTCTGCTGCCCTGGAGACTGGGACACGGAACAGTGGCTTCAAACTACAAGAAAGGAGATTCCATCTGAACATTAGGAAGAACTTCCTGACTGTGAGAGCTGTTCAGCAGTGGAACTCTGCCCTGGAGTGCGGTGGAGGCTCCTTCTTTGGAGGCTCTTAAGCCGAGGCTGGAACCCCCGGTGGCATAGTGGGTTAAAGCGCTGAGCTGCTGAGCTTGTTGACTGAAAGATCACAGGTTCTAATCCAAGGAGCGGCTTGAGCTTCCACCTTTCAAGGATTATGATTGTTCAATTTATGCTTGAGTAATTAGTGGGTTAAACCCCTGTGCTGGCAGGACTAAAGACCGGCAGGTCGCAGGTTCGAATCCGGGGAGAGGCGGATGAGCTCCCTTTATCAGCTCCAGCTCCTCATGCAGGGACATGAGAGAAGCCTCCCACAAGGATGATAAAAAACATCAAATCATTCAGGCGTCCCCTGGGCAACATCCTTGCAGACGGCCAATTCTCTCACCAGAAACGACTTGCAGTTTCTCAGGTCGCTCCTGACATGACAAAAAAATTAAAATCTGCTCTCTACATGCAACTTAGGTGATACGGTCATTCGCTAGTTCTATGAGGCTTTTGTGCGAAAGGTCGCAGGTTCGAATCTGGGGAGTGGCGTGAGCTCCCGCTGTCAGCCCCAGCTTCTGCCAACCTAGCAGTTTGAAAACATGCAAATTTGAGTAGATCAATAGGTAATAATAATAATAATAATAATAATAATAATAATACTTTATTTGTACCCCGCTACCATCACCCCAGGGACTCGGTGTGGCTTACATGAGGCCGAGCCCACAATACATCAGCAAAAAACAACAGTAATGCAAAACAATAAAATAAAACTCATCAACAGAAAATAAGCAGTAAACATCAATGATAACACAACAACATTTAAAAAACATATGACTGGGCCAAATGTAATAGTTAACATTTTAAAAATAATGCTGAGCATGACCAGGTGAAATAACTAGGATAGAATTTTCGGAGAAGAATGGGGTGTGCAGAAAATCCTAGATCACTAATAAAGTGCATTTAGGGACATATTGCTGGTACTGCTCTGGCGGGAAGGTAACGGTGCTCCATGCAGTCATGCCGGCCACATGCCTTTGGAGGTGTCTGTGGACAACGCCGGCTCTTCGGCTTAGAAATGGAGATGAGCACCACACCCCAGAGTCGGACAGGACTGGACTTAATGTCCTTTACCTTTACTAAGCAGAGGCTGGATGACCATCTGTGAGGGGTGCTTTGAATTAAATTTTCCTGCTTCTTGGCAGAATTGGGGTTGGACTGGATGGCCCGCAAGGTGTCTTCCAACTCTATGATTCTATAATATGAACTGCCATATATGGGAAACGAAAGTAGCAGAATATTTATTTCCAGGCATCTGCGTGATATTCCACTTTTTTTAATTTCTCTGAGTTTAAATGTCCTTTGTTCCGTGCTGAACTCCCAACTCGACGGTTTACAAGTAAGAATGTGAAATGAAATGCATGTTAATGGGAGATTTCTCACAATTCCTTTGCCCCAAGTAGTTCGCACTTGTTTACGCAGTTTCTTTCGTCCCTGCTCCTTTAACCTCCCAATAACCTGGTTAGGATGAGAGGAAGGTTAGGCTGCCAGTGAATAACTGGCCCTGACTCACCCAGTAAGCTTCATGAGTGTTCAGGGATTTCAGTCTGGGTCTTTCCAGTCCATCCCTCTAACAAACACTCATCCCTCTCCCATTCAGGGCATAACCTTCCCTTGACTTTCACACTTGCTATCTGAATTGCCACCCTTAAGATGGATAGAGAGAGGCTATATATTGCATTCCCCACTTCGTTCCGTGAACTCAGTAAAGCGTGAGTAAACTCAAGGAAGGGCCTGGCGTTAAGGATAGGGTTCTATCAATCTGTCGCAGCATTTTTTTTGGTCGTTTTTATTACAAACAATAGTCACTTCACTTAGGTGATCCCTTGTTGGCCGAGTAGGATAGTATTCCAGGATCAGTGTTCTGATGGATCCGTAGGTGACTGTGGAGCCCTATTCTTGATCTGCATCTTCTCCCGCAGTGAGGGCATTGTTTTCCAGGTGGAAGGCGGTCTCGGTCGGGGTTGGCTTGATGTGCCTTCCTCTTGGCACATTTCTCTTTTTTGCCCTCCATTTGTGCCTCTTCAAATTCTGCAGCACTGCTGGTCACAGCTAACCTCCAGCTGGAGCACTCAAAGGCCAGGGCTTCCCAGTTTTCAGTGTCTATGCCAGAGTTTTTAAGGTTGGCAAGCAAGCAGGCAAGCAAAATTTATTGATTAGTCCATTGGCCGTATCAACATTAAAAACAAAAACAGAAACGTGCACAAATAGACAATAATCACTATCCTAAGACTCCCATAATAGTGAACTAGCATACATTCAAACTTGATTAAGTTAAAAGATAATTAAAAATATCATCATTAAAATGCCAAGGCAAAATTTCATACCACAATTTTTTTTTTTAAGGTTGGCTTTGAGCCCATCTTTAAATCTCTTTTCCTGTCCACCAACATTCTGTTTTCCATTCTTGAGTTTGGAGTAGAGCAACCACTTTGGGAGACGGTGGTCGGTCATCCGGACAACGTGGCCAGTCCAGCGGAGTTGATGGCAGAGGACCATCGCTTTAATGCTGGTGGTCTTTGCTTCTTCCAGCACGCTGATGTTTGTCTGCTTGATTTCCTAAAAGTTTTGCAAGATTTTCCAGAAGAAGCGCTGAAGGAATTGTTCCAGGAGTTGCATGTGACGTCTGTAGACAGTCCACGTTTTGCAGGCATACAGCAGGGTTAGGAGAACAATAGCTTGGTATCCCTACGGATGCCCCTGTCCTCAAACATTATCTGCTTCATTTGGAAAAATGCTGCACTCGCAGAGCTCAGGCGGTGTTGTATTTCGGTGTCGATGTTGACTTTGGTGGGGAGGTGGCTGCCAAAGTAGCAGAAATGATAAACATTTTCTAATTGGATTAAGGAGCATAGTGTCTAGTTCTAGGGAAGTCATGCTACCCCTCTATTCCGCTTTGGTTAGACCACACCTGGAATATTGTGTCCAATTCTGGGCACCACACTTGAAGAGAGATATTGACAAGCTGGAATGTGTCCAGAGGAGGGTGACTAAAATGATCAAGGGTCTGGAGAACAAGCCCTATGAGGAGCGGCTTAAGGAGCTGGGCATGTTTAGCCTGAAGAAGAGAAGGCTGATAGGAGATATGATAGCCATGTATAAAT